AGCGCCTTGAGGTGCCGCAGGCGGTTCCAGATCGCCTGCTCCGCCTTCTCCCTGGGAAGCCAGGAAAAGAGCGGGTGTTCCGACCGTCGGGCCCAAGTGCTTTGGGAGCAGAACTCGTCTAAAGATAGGGAATGGTCCCGCTGACGGATCTGAGGGAGAGCGTGGTTTGTGGTGTGTGGATTGTGTCTTGACTCTGTCCTATCTGCTACGGTTTCGCTCGCTTGGGAGCACCTGCCTGCTCCGCCTTCTCCCTGGGAAGCCAGGAAAAGAGCGGGTGTTCCGACCGTCGGGCCCAAGTGCTTTGGGAGCAGAACTCGTCTAAAGATAGGGAATGGTCCCGCTGACGGATCTGAGGGAGAGCGTGGTTTGTGGTGTGTGGATTGTGTCTTGACTCTGTCCTATCTGCTACGGTTTCGCTCGCTTGGGAGCACCTGCACTGCAGGAACAACTCCGGGGCCAAGCTCTGGCGGAGAAAGCGTCTGCCTTAGCCAGCCGACTGGAGCTACCTCGCAAGCGACGCCTTCTGCGTTCAGAAAAACGCAAAGTTCCCTTCATATGTATATCCCAGATGGCCCCTAAACGTCTTTCCCAAACTTTCGAAGTACAGGGCCTGCACTAGAGAGGCAGTCAGTTCCAGAGAAGATGGATTTTTAAAAAAATAAAATCATTAAAGCACAAATCTGTGCAGGTCTAACTGCCCACGGCACACACACGGAGCTCACACTGCCACATAGCACAATTCATGTTGTACATCGCAGCACCAGCTAGCTCTACCCGCAGCTAACAGGCACTTTCAGATCTGCACGCTCTTGTCCTCACACAACACATTTATCGCCTCTGTTTTCAAACGGTAACTCCTTAAAAACTGTCCAAAAGCAGCAGTGACAGAACATTCCTTACCTCACGGAGCAGGTGACGAGGAGAATCACATCTGCCTAAACCACAAACAACAAAAAAGGAAGAAGAATTTGTAAAAGCCAAACGGCGAGCACCCACGCCCTGAAGAGGCAGACTATAAAACTCGCTTAACTCAGCGAAAAAGATCTGCCCAAGCATGCGGTGGGTTTCAACAAACAAAGGTGCAAGAAACGAAGAGAAGCAGAGCCTTCCACTAAAGGACAGAAGTAAACTCAGACAAAGATGAGCCAGGAGCACCCCGCTGTGCCCAATCCCTCTCCAACTGAGAGGGAACCCAGCAGTTTAAAGAAAAAAGACAGCCCACAGCTTTAAGCCACTCGTTAAGTAGCTTCCTTTACTCCACAGAGCTCAGGCTGCAAAAACGGCAACGTCCTGCAGGGCTGCACTCCAGACAAGAGCTGGGACTCACAGGCACGGCAATCGTGTGACGCCCTCACAGGCCTGCGCTACAGGGGAGCTGCCAAGGCGCCTTACCTCCTCCAGCTCCCTCGTCCTCGTGTAGCCGCTCTTCTGCAGGATGGCCCAGGCGATCTCCGTGTCGTTGACGTTCATCTGGCAGCCGTACGTCTCCAGGTACACTGCAACAAAGGCGGTGTGACGCAGAGGCCTGCCTCAGCGCCCGGCTACAGCCTGTTCCTATGACCTTTTCTATCGGGAGGAACCGTCAGTCCCAGCACTGGAGAGTCAGTTAAGCAGCGCAAAGGCTGCCCTCGCCTGCAGCCCGCACAGAAAGGATAAACCCAAAAATACAGACGGGCTCTGGGGAAGCCGAGTGCCTCAGAGCGCGTCTCTCCAACACGACAGGTCTGGGCTGGGGCTGGCCGAGAAGCAGAAGCTGTTACTGAGACACAGGGCAGGGAAACCCCCCTCCCCTGGGCACCACGGCCCGAAAGCTCTGCCACAGCCCCGGCCGGCACCCCTCGGTCTGCGGAGAGGTGCCAGAGCAACGCTGCCTTCACGGCGCAGGGGGTGAGACCCACCAGGGAGCGTGTGGCCAACGCGCCGGCCTTCTCCTCACGCCAAAATCCCCCTCAGGGCTCCCAAAGCCCCCGAACGACCCGCTCCCCCCCGCTC